GGGCAGCTTGAGAAGACAGACTTAAGTATTATATTGAAATGTGCAAAGCTCTGGAGTTGGAAAATCAAAGGGGAAGAACACATTCAGCATTTCTTAAGCTGAAAGAACTAAAAAAAAAAAAAAAAATTCAAGCCTCGAGTTGCAATACTGAAGGATTCTACAGGCAAAATATTGAACGATGCAAAACCAAAAAACCAAACTGACTGCTGTCGAGTCAGTTCCAACTCATAGCGACCCCTCCTTGGGTTTCCGAGGCAGTATCACTATGGAAGTAGATTGCCCAGTCTTCCTTCTGAGGAGCGGCTGGTGGGTTTGAACTACCACCAGCCTTCTGGTTAGCAGTCAAATGCTATAGGCACTATGCCACCAGAGCTCCTATTGAATGATGCAGGAAGCATCAAAAGAGGATGGAAGGAATACAGAGAGTCACTGTACCAAAAAGAATTGGTCGACATTCATCCATTTCAGAATGTAGCATATGATCAAGATCCAATGGTGCTGAAGGAAGAAGTCCAAGCAGCACCGAAGGATTTGGTGGAAAAACTCTCACTGCCATCAAGTTGTTTCCAACTCAGCGACCCCTCTTTGCTTTTCCAAGGTGATATCCATATGGAATTAGATTGCCCAATCTGCTTTCCAAGGAGTGGCTGGTGGATTTGAACCACCAGACTTATGATTAGCAGTCAGATGCCTTAGGCACTATGCCACAAGAGCTCCAAAGAACTAGGCTTCAGGAATTGACAGACTACCCACTGAGATGTTTCAGCAAACAAAGGCAGTGCTGGAGGCACTCATTTATGCCAAGAAATTTGGAAGACAGCTACCTGGCCAACTGACTGGAAGAGATCCATATTTGTGCCCATATCAAAGAAAGGTGATCCAACATTATTAGAAATTATTGAACCATCTTTAATATCACACACAAGTAAACTTTTGCTGAAGATAATTCAAAAACAGTTGCAGCACTACATCCACAGGGAACTGCCAGAAATTCAACCCGGATTTAGAAGAGGATGTGGAATAAGGGATAGCCTGCTTTATGTCAGATGAATCCTGGCTGAAAGCAGAGAATACCGGAAAGATGTTTACTTGGCTTTTATTGACAATGCAAAGGCTTTCAACTGTGTGAATTATAAGAAATTATGGATGTATTGGGAAGAATGGGAATTAAGAACACTTAATTGTGCTCATGAGGAACCTGCACATAGACCAAGAGGCAGTCATTTGAACAGAACAAGGGAATACTGTGTGGTTTAGAATCAAGAAAGGTGTGCATCAGGGCTGTATCCTTTCATCATACTTACTCCATCTGCATGCTGAACAAATAACATGAAAAGCTGAACTGTATGAAGAAGCATGTGGCATTAAGATTTGGAGGAAGACTCATCAATGACCTATGACATGCAAATGACACAGCCTTGCTTGCTGAAAGTGAAGACTTGAAGCACTTATTGATGAAGATCAGAGACTACATCCTTCAATATGAATTACACCTCAACATAAATAAAACCAAAATCCTCACAACTGGCCCTATAAGCAACATCATGATCAGTTGAGAAAAGATTGAAGTTGCCAAGGATTTCATTTTACTTGGATCTACAGTCCATGCCCATGGAAGCATCAGTCAACAAATCAAAGGATGTATTGCACTGGGCATTGTTCCAATCTATTGTCCATAGGGTCGCTACAAATCAGATCTAACTCAATGGCCCTTAACAACAACAGCCTTCTACAGAGCATAGTGGCAGAATTCTCTTTTCATGCATGAGACCTGGGTTCAATTCCTAGCCAGTACACCTCGTGTGCAGCCACCACCCGTCAGTCAAACATGTAGGCTTACATGTTGCTCTGATGCTGAACACTTCTCAGCACTGCTTCCAGACTAAGAAGGACTATGAAGTGAGGCTTAGTGATCTACTTCTAAAAATAAGGCAATGAAAACCCTGTGGATCACAGTCTGGTCTGCACCCAATCATGGGGATGGTTCAAGACCAGGCAGTGTTTTATTTCATTATGCAGGGGTCGCCATGAGTTGGGGGCTGACTTGATGGTAAGATCACTTGCCACCCCTTTTCTACCACACTATGGTCCAGTATCTAGGGCTTAACATTAATGCCTAACTGCATAACCTAGTCCATGTGCAACCTAGCAGGTAGTTCCTGACCATGTATGTAAAAGAGTCTGGTTCAGGGTTCTGACAACCAGAGGGGGTGCAGACAAGCATTATTTCTATCACTGAAACATGGGAGGAACCCCAGAGTCCAGTCAGAGAGGTCAGGCTGGGCAAATTATGCCTCACACTTATAATGGGATATTACATAGCCATGAAGTCATAGTTTTAAAGAAATTTTAATAACATAGGTAAAGACTTTGAATATAATGTTAAAGGAAAGAAAGTAGGTTATAGAACTGTGCATACAGCATGATCCTTATTTTTCAAAAGAAAAAAAAAAAAGCCTACAGATTCTACACATGAACATGCATAAAAAAACCAGAAGGGAAACAGACTAAAATATTTTAGTCACCATGTGTTCTCTGGGCAATGGTGGGCTTTCAGAGGATTTTTATGCTCTTTTTATTTTTTATGATTTTCCAAATTTTCTACAGTTAACATGTGTTACTTTTATCATGTGGAAATCAATAAAATGAAGATTTTAAAAAATCTTTTGTGCTAACAAAATAAAAAGTTATCAGGAGACCAAGTGTTAATTAACCCATAGAAAGATTTTTTTTTAAAATTTAACTGCCTTTAAACAATTTGCTAATAGAGAGACTTTAAAAAATTAACTTGTCTTTGAACTCACATATAAGAAGCTTTATTAAAATATTACATAAATGATCTCAGTTGTTTTTTAACCTTCATCAAATTATCTCCGACACTACAGCAAGCACGATTTGCCAGCTTTTTGAGGGAATGGTTTCTGCCAGTGGGTCTTTATATTTTATTTTCAGGCAATCTACACAGTTGGCAAATATAATAATAGATCTTATGTTTGTAAAACACTTTATAATTTGCAAAGCATACTAAGTGCTGGGTACTATTCTAGGCTCTGAGGGAGTATCACAGCGGACAAAATGGTCCAAAATTCCTTCCCGCGGGGAGCTTGTTGTACTGGAGGGCAGACAGTGAGCAACTAGACAGGATGCCCAGGAATGCTAAATACTCTGGAGAAAACCAGAGCAGAGCAGAGGGGTAAGGAGCACACAGGGGCTGCTGCTTCAAATCAGCATGATTACTGTTTGGAAGGAAAAAAAAAAAAAAAAACTCTGTAGACTATGGACAATTCATATTTTCTTTTTCAGTTTTCAGACATAAAAATGCTTGAAGATATTCAAGAACGAATTACATGTCATCTAAGTCACAATGCTGTGTACCAGTTATCAGCTTGACGAAATCATATAAAATTCTGATAAGTCATAGTGGCATTTGAATTCTTTTATGTCTAGACCCTAAACTTTTTAAGCCTCCATGCTCTCATCTATAAAATGGGGACAATAATAGCACCAAAGTCAGAAGGCTGTCATCAGAATTCAAAGAGAAAGTATTCCTGGCTAGAAAATACGTGTATTCAAGGTGTGTTTGTAATGGTGATTGTGGTAGTTCAGTTTGAGTGTCAACTTGGCTGGGCCTGGTTGAGTGGCTGGGCAGCTGGCTGTAGTATTCCCCATGATGAGACTGGTAATCAACTCCATGTGGAATCTGCTGGGAGCAGCTGAGTAGCTGCCTTAGGGAATGTGGTCTGCTTCCTGTATATAAGCAGAAGCCTTGGGGAGTGGTCTCTAGTTTATGGCACACTTGAACCCTGCATGTAGCTGTGTCATTGTTCAGCAGCCTACCATGCTCTGCCAACCCGGTGACTTACAATGGACTTGAATTAATGGCCTGCCATGTGGTTTGATAACATTGAGACTGTGCCATTTTATTTGTCGACCTTGGGCTTGTTAGCCTCAGCAGCCAGTAGCTGCCTGAGTGAAGAGATGCCTCTAGCTTCAGTGGGCAGGGAGCAAGAGGCAGAGCTGAAGCCCAGAGTTGAGGGGCTTTCACCCAACCCCTAGAGCCTGGCACTTGGAACTTGGACTTCTAGCCTCCCAAACTGTAAGTGAATAAACTCCTGTTTGATAAGGCCATCCCATTTGTGGTATATTTCTGTTAGAGCGGCACTAAGTAACCAGAACAGTGATACAGTGCAGAGCAACTAGGACACGTCAGTTGGACGCTGCTCTGTGTTTCCCACATAGTATTTCTTCGGTCCTCACAACTGTCCTGGGAGGTGTGTAATATTTATTCCCATTTTCAAGCTTTGAAAGACAAATCCAGAGTCCCATACAGTCACAGGCAATCCAGCTCTCAACCGTGATGCTATTTTGTGGTCACTTGCCAAGGGGTTCCTGAAACATTCATGGCCTCAATTTCTCCCGTTAGAGGGCTGAGAGCTGATTTACCCCCTCCCACCCCTCACCCTGTGTGCTGAGCTCTTCCTGGGCAGGGGCCGCAGGTGATGGGCTTTAGAGGGTGCCTGGTGGATTATTCCCAAAGACAGACAGTATCCCTGTATCTCTGTCATGTTCCCTATCAACTGCTCTCCAAACGCTGACCACTAAACATAAACCTAATTAGTTTCCAATGAACTTCCTTGGAAAGAAGAGGAGGGTTATGGAAGACGGGATGTGCCACACCAGTGGGTGAGTGGAGGAGGGTGGTGGGCTACAGAGAAAGGACACAGAGGGCTTCTGTGTAGAAGGAAGCCTCAGGAGGTAGCCCATTCTGTGGGTCCTGCTAAGACATCAGGTGGACACTCCCTCGCCACCCACCTCCTGCCCCCCCGGCAGCTGGGTGGCAGGTAGCCAGGGATAAACATGGGTGTTTACAAGCTGGATCTCTGTTTTTTTCCTACCAGGGTTTCTGGCCACCTACACCCTTTAGGCCACTCCTGGGACCTGTGCATCCTCCCCCGGGCCCTAGGCCTGCCTCTGCTCTGCTCTGGGCACCCCCTCCCCACCCCTGCTGCATATTCCAGGGCCCACTGCTGCTTGGGCATGTTCCAGCTCTGAGTCCCTAATCCGCAACCAGACGCCTGGCTCCATCTCCTTCCGGAGGCTCATCCTGCCTGGTGCCTCTGGGCCCAGGCACCTGGATGAACACACCACAGTCAGCAAAAAGTCAGGGTTGGGACCCCTCAGAACTCTCGCTATCTCCTGCCCCTGGTGGCTGCTCTCCCAGTTGCCTTCACTGCGTGTCTGAACCATCACCATCCAAACATCTGACCCACCTGACAGCCTCAAACTCTATGGCTCCTTGGGGAAAGCAGTTCTCCCCGTGCCCCAAAGCTGGAGGGTAGGGAGGTGGGCAGAATTCCCTTGCACAGAGCAGGGGCAGTACGTGGGGCTCCTCCTGTCCACCTTGGGCAACAGACAGGAGCCAAGAGCAAGGGAGGGAAGAATACCCCTTAAGGTCCAAGCCAAGCAAACTCACTGCCATCAAGTCAATTCCAACTCACAGCAACCCTACAGGATAGAGTTTCCAAGACTGTAAATCTTTACGGATCCAGACTGCCTCATCTTTCTTCTGTGGAGCAGCTGGTAGGTTCAAACTGTTGACCTTTTGGTTAGCAGCCAAATGCTTTAACCACTGCACCATCAGAGTTTCTTCCCCTTACAGACTAAAAATAACCCAAACTCAACTGCCATCAAGTCATTTCTGACTCATCTGACCCCTACTGGGTTTGCAAGGCTGTAAATCTTTACAGAAGCAGACTGCCTCATGTTTCTTCCATGGAGTAGCTGGTGAGTTTGAACCACCAACATTCTGATTAGCTGCGAAAAGCCTTAATTGCTAGGCCTTAGAGCTCCTTCCCCTTACAGTCAGGTCTACTGTGGCAGGGCGGGGAGGGAGACTGAGTAGGGCAGGGCACAGAGCCTGTGGGAGGAGGAGAGCTAGCCCTGGAGAGAGATGTACTTTGCATTAGAAGTCAACGAAGCTGTGGGGGCTTCAAAGGCCTCTGAGAGGACAGTGCAAGGGACTGTCATGCTCCTCACCACCTCAGCTCTGCTCAGCATCTACTGCACACTGGACACTTAATAAAGTCACACCTAACTGAGTGCTGGCTGTGTGCTTGACATTGTGCTTGGACCTCCTCAATCTTCCCAACTCATCTTTCCCATGTTTCAGGTGAGAAAACAGGTTCAGAGACGTTAGTGTGTTGCCTATGGTCACACAGCTAAGCAGTCAGCCAGGCCTGCTGTTGCAAAGCCCTTAAACCTCCTGCTCACAACAGAATCCTGCCTACCTTTCAGATAAGGAAACTGAGGCACAAGGTAGTGAAGTCCCATGTTCAGCTAGGATGTTTGAGGAGAGTCTAGAAAAGGAGGGGCATCTTCCTGGCAGGAGCTGGAAGGGCTGTGTGGTTCAAGGCCGAGGACCAGGCCTGGGAGCCCCTACCTCTCAGGCCTTGTACTGTGTGTCCTCACCTCCCCAGTCTAGGCGGCACGACGGGGTCAGGAGGACAGCCCCAGATCGCCCTCTCTGCGCCAGCCACCCGACCACGAAGCCCGGTGGGATGAGAGGACAGGCCTCAGGAGTCAGCTAGCTTCCGAGGCCACCTGGGGAGAAGCGGCTATGCCTCTGGGCAGTGCGCAGGCTGCCAGGACCGCCACCCTGGGACTCAGCCTCGAGTCCCTTTTACCTGGCAAGGAAAAGTCCGCTCTAAAGAGGGTGAAGGTGCGGCGGGAACATCCCCTCTTCCGCCCAGAGTGTTGACACAGGCCTGCGCGGGAGGCACCGGAGGCATGGGTGTGGCCGGGTAGACCCGTCCGGGAGGGTCAAATTTTCTAACTCAAGGGGGAGCTGGGTGGTTCTGGCGCCAAACTTCGCGAAGACCCGGCCCATTTTCTCTCCCATCCCAGCTAAGTGCTCCCTAGTTTCCCCTTCTTGGATGGATTGCTCAGAGGTCCCCGACACTGAAGGCTCAGACCGGGTAGACTGTCTTGCGCCCCCACCTGGGGTGCATGCTTGGCTGAGACTCGTGGCGCTTCGAGTCCGGCGGGAACCCGGGAGCTCTCTTTCCTAAATCCGGAGGACGAGCTTAGCGGCAGTGCGGGACTGCGTGCCTAAGAGCGCCGGGGCCGGCGGCAGGAGTCCCGGGATCCGAGCGCGCGTCCGCCCGCTGGTCGGGCCGAGGCTCCGAGTGGAACGCCCGGGTGTGTGCTTGCGCCGGGCCGCCGCAGAGTGCGGGGGAAGGGGCGCGACTCCTCCCTAACCCTCCCTGTGCCACTTACTAGGTTTGGCTGCCTCGCTCCGCTCCGTGCGCCGCAGTGCCGGCTCCAGCTTCGGCTCCAGCTCCGGTTCCCGCTTCCGCTCCCGCTCCGGCTCCCGCTTGGATGCCGCGGCGCTCGGGCTCGGGCGTCGCAGGGGGCGCGCCGCTCCGCC